CTCTCTCTGGTCTCTCTCTGGTCTCTTTCTCTCTGGTCTCTCTCTGGTGTCTCTCTGGTGTCTCTCTCTCTGGTGTCTCTCTGGGGTCTCTCTCTCTGGTGTCTCTCTGGTCTCTCTCTGGTCTCTCTCTGGTCTCTCTCTGGTCTCTCTCTGGTCTCTCTCTGGTCTCTCTCTGGTCTCTCTCTGGTCTCTCTCTCTGGTCTCTCTCTGGTCTCTCTCTCTGGTCTCTCTCTGGTCTCTCTCTGGTCTCTCTCTGGTCTCTGGTCTCTCTCTGGTCTCTCTCTGGTCTCTCTCTGGTCTCTCTCTGGTCTCTCTGGTCGCTATCTGGTCACTATCTGGTCTCTCTCTGGTCTCTCTCTGGTCTCTCTCTGGTCTCTCTCTGGTCTCTCTCTGGTCTCTCTCTGGTCTCTCTCTGGTCTCTCTCTGGTCACTATCTGGTCTCTCTCTCTGGTCTCTCTCTGGTGTCTCTCTGGTGTCTCTCTGGTCTCTCTCTGGTCTCTCTCTGGTCTCTCTGGTCTCTATCTGGTCTCTCTGGTCTCTATCTGGTCACTATCTGGTCTCTCTCTGGTCTCTCTCTCTCTCCTTCATTCCTTCCACAGTGGTAAATTCCAGTGTTGCTTCGCCACAGAATTCAATTATATTCAATGTATTTTACAAAGTTGTGGATTCACCAAAAGCAGATCAGAAAACACAGGAAATACAGTTATTGAAACATGTACCGCTGAACAACAGTACCTGTGCTCCCTGTACCTGTGCTCCATGTACCTGTGCTCCATGTACCTGTGCTCCATGTACCTGTGCTCCCTGTGCCTGTGCCCCATGTACCTGTGCTCCATGTACCTGTGCTCCCTGTACCTGTGCTCCCTGTACCTGTGCTCCATGTACCTGTGCTCCATGTACCTGTGCTCCATGTACCTGTGCTCCCTGTACCTGTGCTCCATGTACCTGTGCTCCATGTACCTGTGCTCCATGTACCTGTGCTCCCTGTACCTGTGCTCCCTGTACCTGTGCTCCATGTACCTGTGCTCCATGTACCTGTGCTCCATGTACCTGTGCTCCATGTACCTGTGCTCCATGTACCTGTGCTCCCTGTGCCTGTGCCCCATGTACCTGTGCTCCATGTACCTGTGCTCCCTGTACCTGTGCTCCATGTACCTGTGCGCCATGTACCTGTGCTCCCTGTACCTGTGCTCCCTGTGCCTGTGCTCCATGTACCTGTGCTCCATGTACCTGTGCTCCATGTACCTGTGCTCCCTGTACCTGTGCTCCCTGTACCTGTGATCCATGTACCTGTGCTCCCTGTACCTGTGCTCCATGTACCTGTGCTCCATGTACCTGTGCTCCATGTACCTGTGCTCCATGTACTTGTGCTCCATGTACCTGTGCTCCATGTACCTGTGCTCTCTGTAACTGTGATCCATGTACCTGTGATCATGTACCTGTGCTTCCTGTGACTCATACTGTCCTGTAAGTGCGACGCAACACTGGAATTTCAACAAAGCTCCTCAAAGGATTCAGGAACTCAACACATGGTTCAGACCAAAGAGACCAGAGAGACCAGACCAGAGAGACCAGACCAGAGAGACCAAATACCAGAGGGACCAAATACCAGAGGGACCAGACCAGAGAGACCAAATACCAGAGGGACCAAATACCAGAGGGACCAAATACCAGAGGGACCAAATACCAGAGGGACCAAATACCAGAGGGACCAGACCAGAGAGAGCAGAGACCAGAGGGACCAAATACCAGAGAGACCAGAAGGACCAGAGAGGACAGGGAGATGTTTGTCTTATGTCGACTGTATGGAAGATTGAGAGTTAAAATAATAATAACAATAACAATAATAATAATAATAATAATAATCATAATAATAATAATAATAATAATGCAGTAACTACTAATAACACGTTAGCTAACATGTCAGAACCAATACTATGTTTGTTTTCCTGAGACCATAGGCTTTAAAATGAAGTATAACAGACCATGGTCGCCCCAAACCATCAATGCTGCAAGTTACTGTGACTATTTACAATCATCTCTATGGGCCACTAAATATTGCTTCCTGGGCCGGATTTGGCCCACGGGACTGAGGCTGTAGACCCAGGACTGAGGCTGCAGACCCAGGACTGAGGCTGTAGACCCAGGACTGAGGCTGTAGATCCAGGACTGAGGCTGTAGACCCAGGACTGAGGCTGTAGACCCAGGACTGAGGCTGTAGACCCAGGACTGAGGCTGCAGACCCAGGACTGAGGCTGCAGACCCGGGACTGAGGCTGTAGACCCAGGACTGAGGCTGTAGATCCAGGACTGAGGCTGTAGACCCAGGACTGAGGCTGTAGACCCAGGACTGAGGCTGTAGACCCAGGACTGAGGCTGCAGACCCAGGACTGAGGCTGTAGACCCAGGACTGAGGCTGTAGACCCAGGACTGAGGCTGTAGACCCAGGACTGAGGCTGTAGACCCAGGACTGAGGCTGTGTGCTTCATTGGTCCCACAGAGAGTAAATTCCAGTGCTGCATCGCTCACAGAACAGTAGGAGCAGAATATAAACTATAATTGTCTAAATAAAGAAACATAAAGAACATTGTTTTAAACACTTTCTAACTTTTCCAAATCCAGGCCGTTGTTGTTCCACAGAGACTGCTTTGAATTCTGCAAAAGGTCATTTTCATCCATTTGCATTCACGGCACAAGCTTCTCCAACATCACCGCGAATATAAATCCATGTGTCCCCCCCCCTCCCGCTGAGTGTGGACCCCTCCGTGCGGACCAGGACCAACCCAGACCCGTCTCAGTCTGATCCGCGGCTCAAACCCAGACTCATTACAATTTTATAAATAATTTCTCAAAATGACTGCCTACAGGTGGCGCCAACGAGCCACATCCAGCGCCTCCGCCGTCCCCAAAAATTAGAAGTAAAATCTAATAATATGCTCTAAGGCTGAATCTATGTCTGTGGTTCTGTCTGTGGTGTCGGTGCAGGGGGTCGGGCACGTCCCAAAGTGACGCCGTGGGGTCTGGGGCTGCAAAGGAGCAACTCTGTGACGCGCTGTTCAAATTTGAAGGAAAAATTCACAAAAACATGGCTGCAGGAGGTTTTTGTGTTTGACTATAGTTCCTCCCCTCGCTGTCCTTCATGTCCGCCCGTACCCACGGCTCCTCTGCCAGGCTCCCAGCCCCACACACGCGTGAGAAGTGCCGCAGACAAAGTGCCAAAACGCGCCGTGGAGACGTGAAACTTTACGCGCATCGAGTCCAAAAAAAAAAAATCATACAAATGTGAGGCTTTCGTGGGCTGCACCTGGTTTTTGACTGTCAGTTCTGCAGAGAGAGAAGCTGCTGCTGAGGCTCGCTTCGGAAACTGCACACAATCTAAAAACATTCACCAATCTCACCCTTTCCACAAATCCACAAAACCAAACACGTACCTCCAGAAAAGCGACGCAGCTCCAAACACCGGATCTTTCTCCCAGAAGCAAAAAAATAAAAAAAATCCCTCCGAGAAAGAGAGAGAGCGCAGAGGTGAGCACAGCGACACTGCCTCTCTCCACAGCCTCCAATTGTCAATTAGTTATGAGAAAATTCCAAAAGGAAAAAAAAAAAATGTGGATTTTTTTTTTTTTTTTTTTTTTTTTTTTTTAGCGCTTCCTCCACCGCTGCGTTACATTTTAGCAGCGGGGGTAGTAATGGCGAGGAGAGAAGGGGGAGAGGGGGAGACGGAGGGGGGAGACAGGGTCCGTCGGAGGAGGCTGGAGGATCATGGCCGAGGCTGGAGCAGAACCTCCTCCAGAGACATCAGCGCAAGGGCAAAAAGATTGTGGAAATTGCAGCGCCTCGGCCTGTATTAGCTACAGGGAGAGAGGGAGGGAGGGGAGAGGGGGAGAGGGGGAGAGGGGAGAGGGGGGAGGGGGGAGGGGGGAGGGAGGGGAGAAAAAAATAAAAAGAGAAAAATAAAAAAAAGTGAGAGAGAGAGAGAGAGAGAGAGAGAGGGGATGGGGTTGGGCGAAAGT